ATCGCTCGATCAGCTATTTAATCCGCATATACATTTGTCGTTAAGAAAAAATACCGGCGCGCAAATTACTTTTTGGCTACCATAATAAATCGGGCGCTTTGAACAATTTTATTAGCAGCCGTAAACGTTATAGAGACGCAGTTAAAGTGTCAGAATTTGACCGTAAACGAGCGTCCATTTGAAAAAGAAGTGTTTTCTTTGCGCTCGCGCAGCTCTCCGACGCGTTGTAATAACAAGGCCGGCTAAGTTTTATTGTCTATTCACTGTGATGAGCTTATTTCTTTATCTCTCTGTATGACTAATCATTATTTACTAGCTAGTCTCTGAACCTTTTCAAACGTAATGTTATTTTAACGCTGGAAATAATAGTAGTTCACTTACGTCAAGTGTGTTTAGTTTATTTAGGCGGATCAGCTAGAAAAGCAGAGACCGGTTAATTGATAGGTTGCTGAATACCTGTGCACTGGCTCCGAACAATGCAACCTGACTAATTATCCACGCTCCGATTGTTTAAATTTGAAACTTATGAAATCGCGTTACAACTTGTATTGTAATGGCGCGAGCGCACATATTGCTCGCAGTAACGCGCGCACACTACTTTTACGTGGAATTTCTTTCGCGATGCTTTTTTGTTTAACTTTAATTGCCGCTCGTCGGAAAGGAGAGAGATAAAAGACGCTGTCGAAGAGGGAACAACGACCAATGAGGCATTCCATAGCTTCGGTAGACTTTATTAAAAGAAGCGGATGTAGGGGTAAGTATTTTAAGAGGATCCCGACGCGAGCGGATTGAAATAAAGGAAATTATTAAGAGCTCTCTCCATGATAAAAACTCGGTAGACGGAAGTTACTCCAACTATGGGTTTATGAAGCATCGGACGCTCATATCGCGTTACATTATGAAGTAATAAGTCGATGATGCGTGCGAAGGTTTTACGTTTTTCGAAGTGGAAACTTATATAAGCGGCGGTCGCCCGGCGAATCATAATGCGGGGCGCGTAACCGATTACGATTCTAACGTAATTATCGACAATTTAAGGCACAAGTTTGGTCGAGGTGTGAGTTTTTACGCGACGCGCTGTGGATCGTTAATTACTTTCTAATGTGTACGCCGCTATCGAGCGCAAAAAGCGGCTGAGTTCACACGCGACAATGGATTAAGAACGGCATTCGACCGACGCCGCGTGCGTTACCGTACTATTGTTTTGAAATTCGAATCGAACGTGACGTCACTGCAACGTTAATTTCTGAGAATGGCACACCTGTACTTATTTCGAAAAAAAAAAGAATAAATAGTTCACGCATTAATTGTGACCATGTAGGTTGTTAACAGAGGAGTTTTCATACTTTCATTAAAACTGTGTTATTTGGAGCGTGGAAGCATTTTACGAAACATGCAAATATAAGTAACAATCTCTAGAATTAGTTACGCCGTTCTTAGTCTACTTGCTGCACAATAAAGACGCGTGTTTCTTCACTTGACGACACAAATACATTAATCAGGCTGAGCTTTTACGTGTTTTAAATAGCGTTCGGGAACATTGTGAAGCGAGTATTTGTTTTGTTAATACTAGTTGAGTAAATGACCGCCGTAATTACTTACGACTTTACAAGACCCCACAGAATGAACTTTTCGCTCCGTTGCTTAAAGAAAAGCCAGTATAAAAACTTGAATATGGTGTTTTAATTAACCTTAATTAAGTAAAATCAGTGAGTTAAAGTCTCACGGTAACAAATACACTGGACTATCATTTTTGTGCTACATATGGTGGAAATGACTTCCGGAACATGAGACGAACACACGCACATGGCTCAACTTATCAATGACCGTCAAAATATCATCATTTTTATTATTTAATTAATTCCTCTTTATGTAAATTGGTTGCAACCTTTTCTACATTAAACCTTTTTAGAAAGACAGAAAGAAAAATAAATATATATTTTAATAATTTATATGTGGTATAATTAAATATAGAAATCTTTGCACATTAACAATCGCACGCAAAAAAGACGAACATTGCGAAATATTTAAATAAATTCCAATTTCAATTTATTTTAGGAAAAAATCACCACATATCATCTAGAAAATGGTAATAAATAACGATTATAAGTGAATTAACAGTACGTAATATAGCAAAACATTCAGTCAGTATGTCCTAAAAACTATTCTAATTTATTATTTCCTTCGCAACAGCTTACCAGCAACCAGTTACTAGCATTCCTTATCACGAAACTAAAAGAAACTCGTTATTTTTATTCAAGGTGCTATAGTAACGGAATAGATAACTTAGCTAATTAAAGAATGCAGGGCCGAGGTCCCGCGCTATTAAAGGGTTAATTTTTTAAACATCAAATAACTATTTTAATTTCAAACATTTGTAACCGCTTTGCATGCAATGGATGTTTGTTACACGAAGAATTTTTTTGAAAAAGGAATTTTTATAGTCAACTAATGAATTCGAAGGATTTTTTGCAATATTGCAAATAGTAGGGGCCTTTATAAGCCGCCCCGTGGGAAGGTGACTTGCGAAATATTTATGAATTATGATCAGATGACAGTCACGAGATCTCACACTGCATTTCCTACAGTATCTTCAAACAAACAGGCAATATTAGCAGCTGTGAGACAACAATAGAGATTAACTATCGAATTTATTGTGACTGCGTAACAATAGATGATGGACAAATTTATTAAGATAAGACACAATACCGTCTATGAGTAATATCGCGCAACACGGATCTTGGATCCATAAAAACGTATAGTTCACGGCCAGCGCGCGCGCCGGGCCCCGCGCATGCGCGGAAGCACACTTTGACATTTTGCGCTCTCTCCGCAAAGCAGGTGTAAAATGCACAATTGCATAAGCACAACATTTTTTCGCATTAAAACGGCAGCGTATAACGGTTCCACGAGCGCTTGTGAATGGGCCCGTTCATGCCGGGGGGTGTGCACCCCTGCCATTAAGGGCACGTATCGTTGACCTTTCCTCCTATCCGCGGAGTAAGCCAGCCATTAGCCGCTCTCCGTACGTGCGAACACTCGCTCATAATCCGGTCCTCACCTCTTTGACATCCGGACTGCCTAACGGGCCTCGAAGTGCGCATCACAATATAAAACTTGTGATTTACACACTCAAATTGTTTGAGAGTGAAATAAATGAAATCACGCCGGCGCACCGAGCGTCTGCATACAAATGAGATTTCTTTTCGGAGTGAGCCATCTCTTTCTCTAAACGCTGTATGATAAATCGTTTCTATGCGTCGTTAACGCGCGCGCCGCTTTACTTGTAATTTCACTGTTCGATGTTGTCAGTAATATTAATATGCTCATGACCTATTATCGTGGGGGTCAGATCTCCTCTCGGGACTAGTACCGATTTATTTCACAAGGGATCAGATAAAGTTCGGATGCAGTTGCGTTTAAGATTACTTCGGCGGGGTTGTATTACAACAAGCCCGTTATGACCGCGCGCTCGCTGGGTCAGATTTCAAAATATTGTGATGCTGGCCATCGAGGCTTCGACGAGTAAATTAAATGGCAAATTCAAAAATGGAAGCGTTTGCGCGCATCTCGGCGAAGCCCGTTCACCTGCCGGGCCGGTCACGAAGCCAGCGTGCGGAACGTACCATATACTAACACATTACGCGGTACATATTTATTCGTGCGCGCGATATGCCTCGTAAAACAGGCGCTTCTCTGGCCGACGATGACCTCATTGTGAGAAAAAATCCAAGTCAGCGTTAACTAATAATGCTAGGGGCAGATTGTATTATTTAAATGAGACGCATCCAAGTGTAGCCGCATCGGTAAGCGGCGAGGCGTATGGCGCATATCCTCAGGGCATAGGATTTAACAAATTTTAGCGACATATGGAATCGTGGCATATGGGTGACTTCTGAATGTCCGACTGGAGTAAGATAAACTGCACATGGCGCGGAATCGACAACGTCAACCGCTAGCTTAGCCTGTCACTTTTGAAATTTGATAGATTAAAGCATTCCGCGGCCGCTTTCGCTCAATTGATCGCATGTCAACACATGCCCCGCAATAGAGAGCTCTATGTGAATTTAAACAGGAAGTTTCAATTTAGCGCCAATTCATTCGGAATGATAGCGACAGTTACCGGACGCACATCCACTATCCAAAAAAGTTTTAAATTTCGTCTATGCTCAGTTGGCTCTACCTGCAGCTTCGTTTAGTTACCAAATGTCACGTTTTCTCCAGATGGTCGGAGCTTGTGCAAGCGGCCGACCATAGGTCCGATTGTTTGCTCAAACATTACGAGACGGTACGACATTTGAAGCGGGCCGCTAAATAAAATACAAATAGCACTCGAAACCTCTAGATCCACACGCGGCCTGTGTAAACCGTACACAATTGACGCCGAGCGAAATAACCGTAACTAAGGTCCAATTAAGACGTCCGTTATCCTTGGAATCGAGATAGATCTAAGCGCGATCTGTAAATAAATAACATGTAATTACAATATCGAATCACGATCCCGGCCGGCCTCCGCGCTCTAATCGCCGGTGAAGATGAGAACGCAGCCACGACGAAGGCTAACCGACTACATCTAATAACATACGACTGTCCGTGCCCACTGCCCGCTGCCCGTATGTACAGAGAGCGACTTCATAATTAATTAAAAATGAACCATTCAACGCTGTAATCCTCCCACGCGGCTGCTCGTTAAACCATCAAGTATTCTTATCGTCATCGCTTCTGTCAAATTTGAATATAGAATCCCTTAATTTCTTTTTTACTATTATTTACGGCGAATGAGATGGCCCGTAGAGGTCTCCCCGTGGATTATTGGAATTTGAACGTTGTTGGTAACATCCACCGCGTTGATTTATTGATGTAGGGTTGCTACTTAATACTTCTTTTACGACGTATTGATTTTACTGTTGCCTACAAAATTAATGAGGTGTTGTTTTGTTTACGAAACGTCAATACGTTCTACGAGTACGAGTAGTAAAAGCTTGTTTAAAGAAACTCACCGGCCATGTGAAGTCGAAGGGGAATACGATGGGATTGCTAAATCCTTCCACGTGGAGGTTGGGCACATCCAATGAGTTGCCGCCCAACACAGGCGTTGTAATGTCACCGAAGGTACATGGTGACGTCGTGTCGATGTTAGCTTGATATATCTTGAGGCACACTCGGAATTTAGTCCTGCACGGCGCCAAACACGGCGCGTCACTATTTGAGGAACCATCACAGCACTGCCCACTACTTAACCTACCCAATGAGTTCGTAAAACTTTTTATCCTAAGTTCGAAGGAACCAGACGTCAGCACCTGGAAACAGAGAAAACAAACATGTAGTTACTGTGTCAAGAATGAAGGTAAAAGTAAAGATTAAGCGAGTCAATATATCAGATTCAGTGTGACAACACAAACAAACTAGCAATACAGCTTTCGTCGCCCCAAAGATGTAATCCTCAAACATGGTATTTGCACAACTGTCCGCGCGATCGATCCTGTTGAGACATTAACGGTTTTACTGGACACAGTATATGTAGGTCGCTCAAAAATGGGGTTGCATTTAACAACGCGTGTGGGGTGAACGGTGACACCCCTATGAATCGAATTTCGAACGTTAGTGACGTAACAATACACTTTTTTGTTAATCGAACTGTCAAATAATGGCGCCCCCCGCATTGTTTTAAATGATCGTAGCTAAGACTACCGATTTTGATGAAAAACTTGGATATTTTAATGTGCGATGATAGATAAGTGGCATTCAACGAGACGACTTGAATTCCCCTTAGTTTTTTTACTAGTGTATGAATAATAATAACTGGTTTTTGTTGCCCTCCAGGGTGTGCAACCCTTACATATAATAATAATGGAAGAATGCAGTTGGTCGTATTGCAAGTAGGGTCAACAAGTTTAAAACTAATGCATTAGGGAGCGAGCGCGTAATGTTAACATTTTCATAACAACTGCTTATTACTTAACATTGTTGTAATATAAAACAATTATGTGCTAGTCTGTGTTCATGTAAGTTTTTGCATCCTTCTAACTTTAATTTTATCACGTAATAAGTATAAGTAGGTAATTTATCAGCTTCGAAAGGCTTAACATAAACGCTGTTCGTTTATTTTATAAAAGTCATATGTCAAAAAGTCTATCCTGTTTTATATGGCATCGGAAGGAAGTGGTAGTATTAAATTATAGCGGCCATGTCTTGGCGAATCATTACCGGCGGCTAACACTATACGGCTCGCGCACTATAAAGTTCATAAAACATAAAAAAAACGCTTTAAAAGAATCATTTCCTGAGCTTTCGATCTAATTGATTATTTATTTAGCTAGCTATGGTACAACAATAAATTACATTCATAAAACTTTAGTATGGCTCTCGTTAAATCATGACGTGTTTGGAATCATTAAGCCGACCTGTTAATGACGCGGAATGCTTATAAACTCCGAATATCTCCTCAAATATTAGTATTACAAGTAAATAAATATTAGGGAAATATTTCAACTTGATATGCCTTCATCTCGTTATTAATAGCTCCGGCATTACATGTAAAGAATAATTTATGTTGAATTAAATCGGATACATAATTAATGTTAGTTAGATTCCGGGATTGTAAATGTACAGAAGTTTTTGCATGGCAAATAACAAATGGATTATGACTACAGTTGGAAGCTTTTCTAATTAGTTTCCCACGAATATGGCCTTCAGAATGTATTGTCAAAAGATTACAAGATAGACAGAACAATAATCCATTCAGTTAGCCTTATCTAACAGACTGTATGTCTAACGACGTCAAAATCCAGCCCCCGTTTAAACAAAAGCTGTGGTAAAAAATACACCAGATTTCAACCAACTTCCTGCGTTTGCGACAGGGGTAAACTCATCTACCGCGAAACATGCCTCTCTGTCTTTTAGCCTAGTTGTGACAGGGACAGAGTGCTCACTTCACACATCCACGTGGTCGTCAGGTAGGAGCGGAACCGAAAAAATGCAAGAAAAAATATACGCACCACTCTAAACATCCCCTTTTTTGTCCGTCAATTGTTTATAAACGAGTTATAGTAGCCAAGAATTTGATGAATTGTGGCTTACCGATCTAAAGTTGAATATCTAAAAAGTTTTTAATAAGTTTTACATGTAAATAAAAAAAAGTGTGTTAAAAAGAGCGGGAAGCGAACGGTCGTCGGCTTGCCCGAGGCTGGCAACAAACCAACAATTAAATAATACTTACCGGACTACCGAATAAGTTAAATTTTATTATGTCTTCGGGCGGATTTGACGCGCTGACTATCTGATTGATGTTGTTTAGACTATATTTTAAAAGGCGCTTATCTTTTTCGATGTTTCGTCGCTATGTGTATTGAACAACAAAAAGTTTGGTTATATCTTTAATTAAATCGACGTCAGCTTTTACGATAAATGGTGCAACTTAATGTAGCAACAACATTGAAGCTTAATATGTGCCAGTAATCAATTACAAGAGTGGCTAATTTATTTAACATTCCAATACAAGTTAATGCATTCGGCGTCCGAGTCGTGAACATCATTTTTTTCACGTTGAAAGGAAAGTACATTAATTGCGGCGAGCGGGGCAAGAAGCAAACTATCCAAATTGATTTGAATACCTAATCTACGATCTTGTAATAACATTTTAGTTTATATTATCGAGTTACATTAATTCTCTTTTTTATTTTAATCGCAGCAGAATCACGATCTAGACATTTTTCCAACAAAATTACTGTGTCAAAATGATTTATTGAACACTTACTAAGCGGATGCGTGTTGCCTACCTATCGTTTCGTCTGGAAATGTATTTTATTAACTTATTGGGAAAGATAATAAGGCGTAATAATGTGAACGCTATTGTATGTAAGTAAGGCAACAGTATAAACACTCGTTCAAGCAGGTTGAACGCAGTCTAAAAATAACACAAATAATGAAACAGGGGAATGTTTTTCATCTCTCCCGTTATACACACGCGAAATGTGTTAAAATAAACACCAAAACAGAGTCTTTTAATAGCGCGACGATGTGGCCAGTGCATCAATTCGCAATATAATATTTAAATTTGGAATCATCGAGTATGATTTATTTTTTCATTTAAGTTTTTTAGCGTACAATTTATACATATGCCATAAAGATGTTGGAGTCTTTAAATAGATCGGCGAGCGAGATCGTATTAATTGCACTTGGAAAAAACTATAACATTTGTCCTCTAGGAGGCCAGCTGATGAACGAACGCTGTTACTAATTGGTTTTCTGACCTGACTTTTCACAGAACTTAACTTCAATGTTGGTATTGTGTTGGGGGGACGCGCCGGGTTGGCACAAAGGGCGTTCCGTTTCAAGGAACGTCTTTAGAAGAAAATAAACGGCTTCTTTTATAAAACGTACCGATATTTAGTCGTGCGACAAATGTTGCGATCTCCTTTGTGTCGATTCGCAGGCAGCTGTGCCGACACAAAAGAAACTTACGATCTAAGTCTGGAATTTGAAATTAACGGAGAAGCATGAGCGTGGAACGTAATAGGCCCCGTAGATTGCCTGGAACGTATATGGAAAGCGCATAATAAGGTATTTTGCGGTTATTTAAGCGTGTTGCACAAGCGAATTGAGATTTCGTGCGTCGGTGTACTGCGCGCTATGATCTCAGTCGTGTACTCTCTTATATCGTAAACCAGATCTTCTTGCTTGAATTGTTATTGGGATTATACGTGTGAACCTCTCACTGTTGAGATTGAATACGGAACTTATTAAAATTCTTTTGAGTTTAACCTTTTTTGTTCGACCCAACGAAATAATTACCTATTGATATCCATTCTGGATAGACTGGCTATTAATTATTGTGGTAATGAAATTATGGTATATGTAGTATATGATTAAATTTCAAAATAACTAGCTTCTTAATACAGGTACAATATGATTCAACTCGATACGACGACGTGCAGAGGAAGGAATGAAATTATTTTCAATGTAACTGCGATCATCCATTGCACATCGCAGGTAATTCGTTGCAACGTTATGAAACGGTATGATACAGTCGACCACAGTTCCGTTTGGTTACCACTATAAGTACATAAGGAGATTTAGATGCAGTTACGAAATAACGAGCGTGTAATCTTATTCTCATTACGCGTTTAATTATTTCTTAATTGACGCCCACACACTGAGTAATAACTTATTCGCAGCATCAAATGTAAGTGAGTATTCATAACTGTCAACTTATGGCCTTAACTTTCAACCCACGTGTAATAGAAGCACCGACTCATCACTGCGCTATGCCTGAAGCATTGTGCAACCTACACCGTGTTACCATCATCACTGGCACATTTACCCAATTCGGAATTTAATAATTTGCACTGGCAACACTAGACAATAGAACCTTAAATTAGAAGGTTACTGGCTGAATTACGCGGCATCCGATAAATTTCGAAATTTGAAAACGAACGAGCGCCCTACCACAGTCATTGCGCACTCATACCGAAATAGGGTTGAATTATTTACTTATTTACAAATGCATTTATGGTATTGATTTATCTCGAAGCACATCATTCAATATCCTTTGATAAGTTTACACAAGAAAGCTAAGCACTGTATCTGTTTATAAATAATACATATTATTGACTTCCCCGAGCATCCAGTTTGGTTACATTGCGTAATCTGATCAATGGTCCTGGCAGCCATGTTAGTTTTTTCACGAATGTCACTTGGAATCAATTAAACGTCCGGTCGGGATTGATACACAAAAACGCATGAATTTTATTGATCGGCTTTTCGACTGCGGTCGATTGTGTTATGGTGTAATTAAATGTGTTTCAACAGTTTTGTCGTAACGTTAGAAAAACAAGATATCTTTTGTGAATCTGCTGAGTGACGCACGCGCTGCTCAGTCGGTCATTATACACTCATCACAATGAGACGAAAACTTAAAATTTCACATAGTTAAGCTGTTAAAAACCAGCGATTATACGAGTTTCGTATAAAGTCTCTTATAATTGAGTCGGTTCTCATAGAACAAAAACAGTTTTGGACAATGGACGAAATTATAACAGAGTTTAAAAACCTACCGTTAAGGAGTTTCACATACTTAAATACTTTATTGCTACTAACATGACATATGACGATTAATTTATTATTGTGCCTTTGTTAGTTCTGTGTGATTTTTTTGTGTAAATGGGAATTTGGAAGCGGTAGGTGGCTTTTACAAAAAAGTCATTTACTTACAAAATTGTTGGGAAATCGTGGTGAAAATTTGTGGCCACACCGATTCGTTGGTATTTGTTAACAAAATAGTTTTCTGCACATAAAATTAACACCGCTTACCCAACTTTGTGAAGTAAATTTTACGCCACGAGAATACGTAGGTGCGTTGAAATTACGGGCTAACAACAATTTTTATTGGACATAGTTCACCGGAGTTACTATCGTGTTTCCTAGCTATTTTTATTTTTAATTTAATTAGAAGGCTAAACATCGCTCTGCTCACGTAAGTTACATTAAATGGTTTACTAACTTCATAAGTAGTCATACAACAGTACTGTCTACTTTAATATGACGATATAAGCAGTTAAAATGACCATTAAAGCGGCTGGTTTACTCTGATAACTGACACACGAGTCAGAATTGAACTTTAAATCAACATGTCAGGCCGGCAATTAGAATTCGTGTGCCCGAGTTGAGTGGATTGTGAAAAAAGCAGATGTTAGTGTGTTTAAGAGTTGCCATTAATGACTGCACCTGCTCGGGTAATATTACCGGGGTTACCAGTTTCAAACTCATAACTTCCTTTATAATTAACAAACGAGATTTTATTAATGTTCGTGTTGAGTTACTTTTGAATTTGGAACACTTTTAAAAAGTTTTAACTAACTTGACAACCCTAAAAATAGACAAGTGCTACACTACACACATAGACAGAAACACACCTAAAAATGAAATATATATATCTCAGTTATATCACAAATCGTAACGCAATCATACACGCACAAGTAACGTTCCATGCGAGCTATGACATGCTATGTCCTAGATTTGCGACAGGTAGACGCCGAGCGTAATCAAGAATACGTTATAGAATGCAACCAGCAACAATGTCGTACCTATTGCATTAAAAATATCAACTCGTTTATAATACCCATACATGGACAATGAGGATACGACCGTTTAATAAACAGCCTATCCTCTGAATAATTTCTCAGGGATAATAAATGCGATCACGAATCGAATGGAAGCAACCTTCAGTGAATTATTTACTTATTTCAAATTGGAAATTATTACGTTGCGGTTTTCGGGCAGACGTGTTTCCGACGCCGCTTCCGATCAAAAAGGCAGTAGAATGATCACGCGATTCGAGTTTCGAACGCGATCAAAGAAAGAATAATGCAGCTGAATTAGCTACTGGCTGCACGTGGGGGTAAAAAAAGAAAAATCCGGACATCGATTCCTACGGATGTATCGACTATAAAGAATCGAGTTGACTGATCGGTGGGACAATTACATCAATGCACGATCGTCGTCACGTAGACGGGACCAGGGGCAAGACAAACCAGTCCTGAGCGGTGGTGCGCAAAATACCGTTTTTTTATGAAACAACGCGACTTCATTCATAATGTATTATAGCGCCTTGAAAACACACTCACACGCACAGGACTATAAATAAATAGATAGCCACAGCCTGTATGTTGGTGTGAAGCGGACCCACACTATTTAATTAAACCTGATTGGCTCAACAGAAAAAAACAATTAAAACAGCAATTGACGGTAAAAAGTGCACAAAAATCACACGGATCAGCCGGACTCTGGGATCAATTCCCGACACACCGGTTGTTCATCGACAAGTTTTTTTATTAATATTCGCGTATAACAAAGTGCATGTGTTTGTGATATTAACGGTACATTTTGCGAACACATTATTAACTATTCGTTCAGAGTGCGCACACGCACGCATTGGGGAATAGTCCCTCATTGTAAATTGCCCTCGAGACCGGTAAACGATGCGGGAGAACAAAAAGTCATTCGAGACAAGTATCGATTTTTTTATTATTATCGGGTTTTGTTGACATTTCGGTGGCGCTTGTAAATAGGCTTTTACTTTAACTACGGGCACCGTTATCAATGTTGGGGAATAGCTGAGGAGGTCTAGATATCGAATAAAAGTATCGAGTCGGGCGTGTACTGTACCGATAGTTAGAGTGAATCATGCGATGAGCTTTTCTTGAGCTTATTCAAGATGTACTCGTAGATGTTTGCCGTACATAAATAAACATCGAGTATCTCCGCCCATTGGACTGAAAGGCTATACTCGATTGATTGATACGTTTCCTTTAAGACGTTAATGAGGCAAATAACCAAGTTAATTAAGTCTGCGTTTATCGATAAGCGAGTCTACTTAAGAATATAAAAGTGATGCGATAAAAAACACGAAAGTTTCATGGACTGTGAAGTTCACACGTCATGTCGTGGCCACTGGACAGCCACACAACCCTTGGCGTAGGACCAGTAACCTTGACCGGTTCAGAGGGCGATGACCTCGTACTACTCTAGATATTATTTACAGTCTGCCACCTTTTGACAATTTTCTCAGAACTTTCATCTCGAGCGCATTGTTTATGTACGTCGTTTTACTGCGTTCGGCGCCTATTTACCGGCGATTAGCGACGGTCAATAAACAAGCAAAGGGTTCCGTCGTGTAAACTAGACCGAACTACTAACCCTGCCCGAAATATCGCGCGCCTTGAGAGTCGTCTGGAAGAGTTATTCTTGTCGTTGGTGCATGCAGATCGTCGCGAATACGTCTTGTCCAGACTCGAATACACCGCAAAGCCTCGGAATGCATCTAATTTTAAAACGAAGAGGCTCGCGACCTAGCTGACCCCGCGCGCCGGTCGTATTAAAACCTGAACTTTCTTTATAACTATGTACCTATGTTTGCTCGGTAAACGTATCGGACGGACACACACAGGCGCGTGGAGAAGTCGGCGGCCCGACCGCGGCCGGTCACGACTGCGAGCTGGGCTCACCTACACTACATCCTCGCTCCCGACCACTATCCAGGACGATCTGCTAGGCCGGCCGGCTCGGCCACACTCGTGGGAAACTAATGCCTAGTGCACAGTGCTCGCACCTACAGCCGCCGGTTTGAACCGCTGTCTTGTTTAAGAGAAACGATGCCAACCACGAGTTTTTGATTGGATTACGCCGATGCGAAACGTAAACAAACGGGGATTCGCGGTTTTGGGTGTCGATATCAGTACCTGGGGTAGAAACCCTAGCAGGGCGATGAGCACCGCGGGGGCGCGCATGCTGGCGCGTCCGGGCTAGCGGCGCCGGGGCATACGTCGGGACCGTACCCGGTCGTCAGCACTCGAAGGTAGATCCGCAGTAATCCATCACTTGCACATGTATGCACTGAGCGTTTCACTGCAAGTCACACAGCACAAGTATCGAGATGTCACTAGTCGCTCATGGGCTCCGGCGAACCGGTCGCGAGATCGTTCACTACGTTCGAAACGCGCGCGTCGCGTGTAGTGGCGTACAGAGGCCTTAATAACGTGTTGTCGCGGCGGCGCGTGACGGCGGACTGAGGGCGGGCGGCGGCCGCGGTGCGGGCAGCGCGCACCTGGCGCGTGGCGCGACGGGCCCCGAGAGATGGCGCTGCGCGGCGCATCTGCCGGCGACCTGCCCCGCGCGCCCCTCACACAGCCCGCGCGCTCCGCCGCGCACCCGACCAGAAAATATACGGAAAACAGCCCATGTACTGTATGCGAACACGTGCCCCTGTGTAAAAACTTGGGAGATGAATAGACTGCTATGCAGTTTCTTTTTTTTTAATAATTTAAAGACACGTCTCGTCAAAACAATTTATAATGTTCAAGTATCGGCATACAGTTATGTAGTTTTATAATATTTAATAGCAATAACTTCAAGAAAAAAATAAGTTCTGAGATACTTTTAATACCTATTTTAGTACTTTTTTGTTACAATTACAAGACATGTATTGTGACAAGAATATGTTTATGTTTGTTAATTAGCACAATAAAGTTAGTTACCTTCTCGAACCCTCATACCTATGACTTTAAAAGTAAACGAAAAGGATAGCCATAAGTAACGGGATTACTGTAGGTAAGTAATAATATATTTATTTTGGAGATTCAAATGTAGTAGGTACATAGGTACTTACCTCGGCACTTATTATAAGTTCATGATTTTCGGTTAAGTAGATACCAATAAATGTAAAAAATGGGTCACATTTTAGTAATAATTATCGCAATCTAAGTATCTACGTACGTACGTAATTTACGTAGGTTTTGATGAAAACAAGTTGATAGGTATTTAATCTTGCTTGCACTAAAATCTACTTAAAATTAATTTACCTATTTAGGTGTATTCATGATCTGTCGTCAGTCGTCACATTAGTGAAGCCCGCGTACGATAAGATTTTGTTTTGTTTTTAATTTTTTTTTATGGCATCTCCTTAATGCTCCATATAAATTGTGGTTGTTTGTGGTTGTAGACTATACAGCCATTGTTAAGTGAATTAGTGACGTGGTAGTTTGATGATTTTAGCATAAAATTTTAATATTATTGTGTTTTATCAACTTGGATATTACAAAATTTTTAGGTTTCTCGGAAAATAATTAAGTCTCGAAAAAAGGGAGAAATTGGGAAGTTTTTGACTTATCAGACAGATTTTCTTTTTAAACATAACTTTGCGCAGTAATATAAAATTAAATAGTTTACTCAGGCTACTAGTAGGTACTAGTTTAATATAAATATTATACCAACGAGTATTTTGTCGAAATAAGGAGGTTGCAAATAAGAGCAAGTAAAGTGTTCCCATTACAGATGGGGTCCAACAGAGCCTAAGTTCAGGCGTGGTCGATGATTTCCCCCATCAAAAAATAGCAGTGGCTTGGGTTTGGTTCCCGGGTCGGGCAGAATATTTTTTAGGTTTTAGCACGGAGTTTAGAACTTTGCCAGGTTTATGGACAATATATGGACGCAGGCTTAATCCCTATTAAGTACATGGATCATAGATAAGTCGGCAAACCAACATACGGATTACTTGATGGAAGCAATCGTCGACTCCATGGACACCAACAGTACCTACCAGAGTAGTTACGAGTGCGTTGCAGACTTTTTGGATATTAGGGTTCCGGAAATTTATGGATTGAGAAGAGTTGGGGGAGGAGAAGGATTGGGTCTCCAGTAACCTTAACCACATGACGAAACACAAATATTTCGTTGTTTCACACCGTTTCTCTGTAAGGTGACCTATTGCTGCCGAAGCATGGCTTTTCCATAATATAGAATAATTTATTCAACCTATAGGCACTACAATGATATTATTGATAGGGTAAAAGATAAAATACGTTATAAAAATAATGAACAAGGGAATCGCGTGATACCGTTTAGTTAGGGATGCAAATTTTTGGTAAATCTCCACAAATTAATGGCAGCTGTTTCAAAAAACCGATAAGAGAACGATAAATGTAACATTTACGAAGAAGCCTAAGGGTTGAATGAATGAATGATTATTTATACCTATTATTTTTATAACCACTCGTTCTCCCCTGAAGTGATGAACGCCAGTAGCAATGAACGAGCAGCCATTATTTTAATTCGTCTGGTTAGTATTTTTATAACCTTAATCATTTGATTAATTGAATTGATAATTTTAATGTCATACCTCTAGGTATTTTTTATATTTAATATTAGTGGTGTTTATTAATTAAATTTGTGGTAGTTCTGTTATTTTCAAAGGACGTCTCTTATGCATAATATCACGTATGGCATCTCTATTCAAAATTAGGTTTAATAATAACTTTTCTTTTTCAGCATACATTTTGGAATTTAATTAGAATATTCATTATGTAATTTATTTTTGAATTAGGTACCATTTTCATTTGATTTGTGTAAAATTATCTATAAGAATCCAACAAAACAATACAGTGCAAGAACAAAACGCAAAAATATGTTCATAAAAAAATCTAAAAAAAAAATACCCTAGAACCAAAGAGTATGAAATAAAAAACAGATCCGGTTTCCACCTACTAGGTAATTTGTTGATCGCACTTCGTAGAACTAATAACCTAGTTTTATTGGTTGTTTCTAACCACGCCTATATTGTACCTACCTAGTTTACTGACATAAAAAATATTACTTCGTATTACATAGTACGTAGGCACATACGAAAAGACTATAAAAGTAAATTAGCGTAATTGTAATTAATAATACTAGTACGTTACATTTGGTTAAGTGAAGATTATTGTTGTTAGCGATTTTTTTTTTTGATTCTTTGTTTTATTCGCGTGCCCACAGATAATATTTATTTTTAGTACTATGGAGGGCTTTGGGGATACGGGGCCCGAGTAGTATCAAATGCGACTGCCAACAAAAAGGATCTCGGGAAGTCGGGACGACTTCGAGACGAGGAAATGTCCAATTTTTTTTTTCTCTATAACATCACGTAGTCTGTGTGCAATCAAATTTTTAATAATATATCTACTAACTGTAAGTAAATACATAATCTACGAAAAACAACTCTATTACAAACTTACCTACACTGAGTCATAATGACATCAGAGTGTAATCACTTCTGTCGCCTTATTATTGTTTTGTTAATTCGATGACGTCAAAATTTATCTTTATTTATATTTCATTGTTGACTGTTTTGCGCTGAGAAAACAAACGAAATTTGAAGTTTAGATAATCGAAAAGGTTCAATTCGGTGTAACAGGCAGCAACTATGTCATCCTTCAAAAGATAAAAAAGTACAGTGACACGGGTTTGAATTTCGAACTACGTCAATTATTTTTTGTAAAGAGATCTGTTAAATATAGACATGCATTTTTTTGCAAAATCAACAGTCCTCGAATTCGTTCTTAATTAAAACCGTAACTGTGGATTTGCGTGTAAAAATGTAGTATTTAATTTAATTGCAAAATAAAAGTGGAACAAAAGTAACGCTAAGCGACTAGCGCCAGACAAATTTTCTTATCGTAACGAAATCATTGATTAGCAATTATTACTTAATCATGCAGTGTAGTTGCGGAAACTGTACACAAACAAGGGTTAACAACCTCTGAAGATTAATCTTATCGGATAAATTGATTAAAATATTAGACAAATACACTGTTACTAAGAAATTTGGAGGCAAGTCGATTTATGACAACATGTTTATTATCTGTATCATGCAACGAAACACTGACCTAAGATTTCTTATTGAACATACTTGTAAATTATTTTTTTTATTTTGAAGTTAACAATTGTCCTTTTAGCTTAACACATTAACTGCAACATAGCTCTCCGGTGACCCACGTAGGATTTGCCTTGTCAGTTTTCTGTTGACAGTCAAAGGCTTAATGAGGAGTATAGTGAGATCGATGTCAATATTAATAAAAATGTAATACAGGGTTTTCACAAGTTTACGTACAGATTGACTAACATGTATTTGGGTAAAGTGAAATAATTATCTGTAAATATTATCTTTGACATTATTGTGACGTCTACATTATTTGGCGTTTATCTATCAACGTCACAGTAATTGAATGTCTCAATGTAAAGAACCAGCGAATTTTTCCCTCCAAAACTAACGGTCATTCGCGTTTGCCAGTCTACAAGATTAACATCTAACAATTAGTGCGTTTTACAGTAGGTAGGTACCTTCTCATTGTCCGCATTAGTCAATTATATTAATTAAAAGTCTTAATAGACCTGAGAAAGGAATAATTACTCGCTTATCTCTCGCACATGTCGTAAACCATGTGTAATTTTGTATCTGTGAGTACAGTCTGCGTTGAAAGTTAAGAAGAATATTCTAGAGGAATTTTATCAGATTCAGCGAGTGCTACTGCCCTCTACATATAATTTCTCAGTAAACGTATGTGGCGAAGTTCATACAAATTACGGTCTATATTCTATTTTATCTGATACATAGCGTTGATAACATTACCTACGTAATACACAGATGCTAACCTTATACTGTGTCTTTTTTTCTTTTGAGGTGGTAAATCGGAGAAATATTACGGCCTCACAGAAAACCGAGGTTACCGGAGGCTTAATACTTCCCCTCCCCCAATCCCTCCACAACCCCTAAATCTCCACATCCCTAATCCCCAAAAGGTCGACAACGCACTCTTAACTCCTCTGTCGTGGGGTGTCCATGGGCGGCGCTGACGGCTTACCATCATTACATAAAAAAATCATTAGGTAAATGCTATTCTTACTATGGGTGGGGCGTGAGGGACTGTCAGACTCTTACTGACTAAAAACCACTCCGTTCCTTTCCTGTTCCAGACTGCGGTACATTATTGCGCTTGACCCCACTGTTGGGCCCCACCTGTGGTTGTCTTTCGGCTCTTTGAGGCATGCGCGAACGCTAAGCGCCGTACGCTCAGATCTGGTTCTGGATCCGCGAACACGATAATTTGTCATCAAAGAATAAAAAGTAGGTAATTAGTAAAGAGTAAGTGCATTTAAATTCATGGTCCAAAAGATCCATTGAATATAACGATTTACACACGTGGAATAACTGAAAATGTCGCGACGCGGCGACCCGCACGCTGTTC